TTATTTAATATTGTTTTTATATTTATTTGTCATAAATTTTTTATTTGAGACAATGATGTTAGTAAACATTTTTATAATATTAATTTAACATTTATTGAATGTTTATTTGTTATTGATTTTGTACTTGTAGAAATATATTTTTANAAGTAAATGTTAAATTAATATTATAAAAATGTTTACTAACATCATTGTCTCAAATAAAAAATTTTCGACAAATAAATATAAAAACAATATTAAATAAACGCTACAAAAATATGTATTGAAGTCATTTATGGAAACAAATACTTTAAGAAAAAAAAAATATTAAACTAACGTTACACAATGTTAACAAANTCGCTTTTTTAGATAAATAATTGCTAAAAAATAAATATTTTTAAAATGTTCACAAAACATTTCAAAAACAATTGCAGAAATAAGTGTCTTAAATAAATAATTAATAAAAAAATAAATATTTAATACATATATTAAATAACCGTCAAATAAATGTTTACTGAAATCATTTTTTCCAATAATTAATTAATAAACAATTACTATTTATAAAATATTTATAAATCGTTTAAAAAACGTTTCTGTAGNATTTATTAGTTTCAATAAATATATAATGAAAAAATAATATTAAATAAATGTTTAATAAATATTTGTTTCTCAATGAGTTGAGAAAATAAGTAATTAATAAAATAAAAACATTTAAAAAACATTGAAAAAACATTGTCTGCTGATTGGGCCACGTCTCGCATTGAGCGCAACAATTCAAGCTCACGGCGGGCCAACTGCAACTCTCGCTCCGCCACTTCTTTCTCTCTTCGATACAGCTCAATTTCTCTTCGAAAATCAGGAGAAGATCTACTATTAAAGCTCTGTGCACTCACATCCGCACGATCGCCGACCGATTCATTGCTTTCTCTCACAAACTTCATCCACTCTCCCGTCGGATCTCTTTCTAAGAGTCTAGCTATAAGCTCGTTTTTAACTCCTGTCGTAGACAAATTTATTCTTCGCAGCGCTTCTTTCAATTCTATGACCGTAAAGTCATTTGGATCTCTCTCCGCGTTCAACATTTTTTTCTTTTTTAGTCTATCAATGTCTCTTACGGCTCAAAATTGCCACTAACTCTCACGCACGAATTACACTCAGATTCGATTACGCGACACGAGTTATACTCAGGCTCGATTGCGCGGCACGAGTTGCACTCAGACTCGATTACGCGGCAATGTAACTCACAGTCTTTGATATTGTAAGATATCAATCAGGATAGCTCTTCTTGTTTCTTCTCTCGAACACACACATTTATTTCTTTAGTTTATTTCTTACAATTTAGCACATTAACAGTCTTACACGCCGTTTTATTTCAAACTTTTTAACAAAAACTCTCTCTTTGAGGTACGCTCACCTCGATACGAAACTATCACCCGTTCGTGACTTTTCCTCTGAATCTCTTTTGACTTTCTCCTCATCTCTCGTTACTCTCGCCGCTTTATATCTCTTTTTCGTTTCGCACGCTCTCATCTCTTCTCCTTACTTACTCTTTACACGTAACTAAGTACCTGCGCTAATCACGCTACGAGTTGCTATGTCGGTATAGCAGTTCTGCTCTCACTTTCTCTTTCTCTCTCTCTCTCTCACATAGAATCTTACAGTTTCGGCCAGCCTGACCGTTAGTTTGACCTCGAACTACTTAATATAAACCAAATTATCACCTATCTATCTCTTATATCTATATATATATATTTTCTTTCTTTTTTTTTCTTTTGTTACAAATACAATCTTTTACTTAATTGATAAATTTTCTCTTATTCAGATTGACTTGAGACACTCTCTTCTTCCTCTATTTTGTTAGGAACAATTGGTTCACCAACTCGAATTCACGGTTTTAACTTGTCGGCCGATAAAATTGTATTTCTGTATTAAATTATACCCCAGTATATCTGTAATTACGAATCGATTTTTGTTTAACACAGCTTTTACCTGATATGGACCTTTATATTTCGGAGCCAATTTTACATTCGTGCCCGGTTTGTGCTGCAATACTTTGATGAGAACTAAGTCTCTTTTTTTATATAAAGTATTCTTTTTATACCGTTTATCATATTGTATTTTATTGTATTCTTGTAATCTACGGTTTGTCACCCGGGTTAATTCGCGAGCTTTGTCTCTTTCTCCCGAATAATCAAGATCCATATCACGCAGTTTATCAATTAACAAACGTAGATTATTGTCGTCTTTACATCTTTGCTCATAATCTAATAAAAGCTTACTTGGAGTAGAATTTATAGACTTATTTAGAGTATTGTTTATCACATGTTGCACCGTAATTAAATTGTTTTTCTATTTGCATGAATTATCTACTGTTTTTGATAACGTTGCTTTCAAAAATCTGTTTACTTGTTCAACTTGACCGTTAGCCCAAGGAGATGCCACAGCAGTCATTACATGTTTGATTTCTTTTTCTTTTATATATTCCGCAAATTTA